CAACATGGAAGATGGTTTGGTTTTTCTCATCCACTTCCCATACCAGATCAGGGTAAGAGTGAATAAGCTCCGCCAAAAATTGAAAGTTCCCTAATTCGGCCGCTTCAAATAAAAATCTTGATGGTTTGTCAATAAGTTGCTTTACCTCCAAGTCAGGTAAAGAAACCAAAATTTCTTTCCATATGCCTCTCGTAAGTTTAAGGGCATCGCTCTCTACAGAATTTGTATGGTATGAGGATGTCAAACCTAGGATGATGGAGTTAAATCAGTACTAAATACAACTTCTATTATTGATGTAGTGAGATTTTATTGATGTAGTGAGAATTCTTTATAACATGGCTTCGCTACACCGTAGCCTATGCTAGCTTATTAGGCAAGTGGAAACATTAGAAATCCAAATTGTCTGCACGGAATATTTGCATCTGTTAATTTGCCATACTAACAGTCTAATACCTTTCTAAATATAAAACAAAACAGGAAAAAACAAAAAAGGGGGTAGTAGAAAGAAACATACTTCTGTTAAAGTAGCTCTTGCATAAGCTTGTATTTCGCTTAAAAAATGCCAATGGCTTTCGAGCTAAGACATGCAGCGCTGTCTCACCATTTACGTCACGCGCGATGGCCAGTGCACTGTTGTCGTCAAGCATTTTCAAGGCTAAACCTATATATAGATGCGGTCCAATATCCATAAAGACTAAAGTTAGAAAATTGTAGCTTATATAGCAGTATGTTAAAAGTAATAGAGATAATTAACTAGTAAGGAGAACTATTAATGGTCACTAAAAGCGAGCGGGCCGGCAGTATTCAAATCAGAGTGTCCACAACTATATATAGTAATGCTTACCGTGCAAATCAGAATGGATACAAGCGAAAAATGTGTCCATCCATTCCTGTTGGCTTAGTGTCGCCTTAGTTATAGGATATAAAAGCCAACCTATTTCAGCATGTCCAAACAGAGCAGCCATGTAGAGTGGCTTGTTTCCCTGCCCGCCCGGAATCAGTGGCAACTCAGTATTTTTCTCCATCAAAATCATAACAATTTCTACACTTCCAGATACAACAGCTAAGCAAAAGGCGGTGTTCCCATTGCAATCTTGCAATTCCACCTCTGCTTCGTCCATCAAATCCAACAATTGCTTCACAAAATGAACATCTTTCGCTCCTGCGGCCACGTGAAGAACAGTTTCTCCTGCTATTGTAATAGCCGCATGTAATATTTTCTTGTCTTCCATGATGATTGTTTGAGCGGCTGTCCAGTCACCCCTCAATGCAGCTCTGTATAGGGGAACCCCTGCATGTAGATATTGTTGTCTTGCCTCTCCTGCGTAAAATTTTGAAAATAT